ATGAGGAACCACAGGGCGTTAGAAACACCAAAGAAGAGGCCAACGGTGCCCTGTTGGAGAAGCACACTATTTGAGAATAAGCCAAAACAGACTCCACTAAAGCCTTGTTTATTTTAGAAAGGCTTCTGGAGCAATCTTCTTACAAAGCACTCAATGATTCCAACCAATTTGAATGATCACGTGCACTGATGTAGAACTGCTTTCCATAGACCCATGACTAATAAAGCCTTGGGGGACCCCAGGAGGTGTCACTGGCAATTCAGCCTCTAAAAGGGGGAAAGTGTGGCCACCAACTACTGCTCTGGACTCCCCATTCAATCAGAGGAAACACAGGCAAACCCTACACCCCTGAGATCCCCCAGCGATTCATACTCATGACACTCTCCTTTCTTTTCCAGGTCTCTGCTTAAATGTTACCTCATCAACCAGGCCTTACCTGACCCTCCTATTTACTGGGCAGCTCCTTGCTCTACCTGGGTCCTTAGCACCCCGAAGATGGAGCATGGTGCCTGCAGTCACACTTACTATATGAAACCATTTCCTCACTTCCACAGTGATGCCCATGATCAGCCCCATCACACACACACACACACACACACACACAGAGTACCAAATAGGCACTGGACACTGGGTGTGTTGCAGAAGACAGACAAGAACATGGCCTCAGATTCTGTAGGGGAGCCAGATAATTCCACAAACAGCCAAAAGCACAATGACGATGCAGGAAGTCCTAGGTATTATGCAAGCCAGGAGGGCTTCTCAGAGAGGGGGGTGTTTACGTCCTGAAGGGAAAGACAAACTAATGGCTCTTAAGTGAGAACCTTCTGGTATAGAATGGTCTGAAAGCAAGGGCTGGAATTACACAATGTATACAATAAGGTACTTGGCTTCAGTCAAACATGAACTCCACTGGTGCAGGAGGCCGAAATTCCTCCATTCCTATAGTGCCTTTGTGGGCAATTCATATTTCGAGTAATATGTGGTGCTGTCTCAACCCTGCAGCTTTATTCTCATCTGGCGAGAGGACAAGCCAACCTCACAACAGTAATGACTGAACTGAACAAGACATGTAGGTGAAAGCCAGCTACTGTCTGCCTGCAGAGTGCCAATTACATTCTTTCCCTGGGTGCCGGCAAGGTCTGACATTTTGATAGTGATCTCCCCAGTGACGGAGGGACTTTGGCTGAGGCACTCAGGAGAGCCAGGAGACTGGATCAAGGGCCTGATGATATACTCTGAGGTGACTGCGAGGCTTGTCGGTATAGTAGGTATTGTATGCAGTAGGTATAGTAGGCTTGTAGGTATATAGTAGGTATAAGTATAGATTTTATGGGTTGGGAGGTCCCTGTGAAGGGCTATGCTCTTATCCTCTTATAGCAGATGTTTTTCTTCTTCTTCTTTTTTTTTTTTAATCCAACAGCTGTGACTGATCTTCGGAATTAAGCTTCCACAAGAGAGGCAGGTTGAGGTAGGTTGAGACAAGTTGAGGTAGGTTGAGAAGCTACCCCTGTCTGATGGCAAGTGTATGTAAAAGTGATCTGGAGCCCTCATACCAGACTTCCTGCTTTCAGATCTCAGGAAATGGGTTTGGAGAGAGTCAGTGACTCAAATGGCAAGAGGCTCAGTTGAAATGTGGACTAGGTTCTACCTAACTCCAAACCCATGCTATTCCTGCTATTCTAGTCAATCTCCCTCCCCTCAGCCTTATCCCCTCTGCCTCCCCGGCTTCTGCCTGCTCTAGAACTCCTGTGGGGCCTCCTCCTACCAGCTCTTCCTCACAGAGAAAGGCTGTCATCTCTCCACGTGGCCGAGCCTGGCTGCACACGTCCGCCCTCATCCTTCAGTGCTTCCCCAGATGACATGATTACTGCCAAGCTCTCTGTGACCGGGCCTAGTCCCTATACCCCTGTACCAGCATCCTAGCATCCTACATGTTCTCCAGCAGAGGGCCTGTATCAGCTGTTCTGCTGCCCACCGTGCTTTTCCCTGGGAGGGCTGGGACCTTCCTGTCCATCTGCCTCAGCCTGAGCATTAACCTTCTAAGGCTGCCTTCTCTGACTGCTCTGGACATGCTTCAACACATCACACTTGCAGCTGGCCTTACCTGTCATTTTCATGTTTACTTGTACACGGTGTGCCTCCTCTACTCTGCTCGGCCTGAAATCAGCTCTACTAGAGTCAGTTTACATCTTTTGTTCCCCATGGTACAGAGCCTGATGCACGGAAGGCGATTATCTGCTAGCTGTGGAAAGGCAGGCACTTTGTTCATCCTCAACTAGAATGAAGTCTTAGTCTTAGTGCCCTGAGTATCACAGCACATCACTAGTGTCCCTGAATACAAGTGGGTCCTTATCCCACTTAAATCCCAACGCATCCCCACTCACTTAGATCCTGTGTCTGTGTCTCATTAGGGGCAGTTTTGGGGTAGTACTGAAGTTTGAACTCAGGGCTTTGTACTTTGCTAGGCTGTTGTTCTACTGCCACTGTCTGCTCTGGTTAGGGTTAGGGTCTCACTTGTACCTGAGCCAGGCTGGACTGGCATCCTATTTTACACTGTCCACACTAGCTAGGATGGCAGACATAGGCTACTGTGCCTGTGATGGAGTCTTGTCAACATTTTTGGCCTGGGCTGGCTCGGACCAGGTGATTTTCCTGATCTCCACCTCCTGCACAGCTAGGATCACAGGCAGGAACACCAGTGCCTGGCTTCTTGAGACTTCTTGAATGTGGAACTGTATCACCCTTGTGTCCTCTCTGCCTACAATGCCGTCAGTTTTCATGAAATGCATGTTGAGTACCGTGAAGTACTGAAGAGGATGGCTGGGTCTCTCAACTGCATCGGTTTCTAACTGGTTTGTAGAGGTGGGGCCAAGACTGTGAAGGTAGAGACGCTTCATGGTGGTTAATCATCAGGAGGGAGATCAGATATTCCTCAGTTGCTACATGTTTTAAACTGATCCTCTGAGAAAAGACAACTGTTGGGAGAGGAGGGGAAGGATGCTGGGCAGAGGAGCCTTGCATACAAAGCCACTGCAGTAGAGTTAGCCTGATGCTGGGCACACAAGAGCCTTAGTCCCTGTTGTCATGCTACAGTGGAATACCTGAGGGAGATGGGAGGAGAAAGCAGGAGGGTTGGAATCTACTCCTTTATCACGAGCTCAATTCCCTGCCAACTACCCCAATCCCTCAATAACAGCACCTCTCCATTTGTGAGGGTGGCCCAATCACCACCTGTTCATCCCACCTCTCAACCTGGCTGCATTGGGGAGTAGGCTTCTAACAAATGACCCTCAGGGGGACACAGGAGACCACAGATGACAGCCTTATCATGAACAGAGGAACCGTGTCTGCCAGACACAGGGGGTTGGAGGTGAAGCAGTTAATTCGGAGTGGTCTACGAGGTTGTCAGTAGTAACCTGACATCAGTCCAGGGGTTACACTCTTGCCCATGAATTCATCAGACTCAATTTCCAACTGTGGAGGTGTTTGTTAGCCCATGTATGAGCTTGGCACCTCATACCATCCAGGGCCTATGCAGCTCCAGGACTGGAGAGGCTCAGAGAAAGTCTTTAGGGCAGAACACTGTTCCGTGGTGAACATAATCACTTCATCTAGTACAAGCTGGTCATACTAAAGTTTGAGCACATTCTCCTAAACAGGATGGAACACAGCAGTGAGGGAGAACCCATTGTAGAGAGCTCTGAGGATTTCAAAGATATGTGGGAAGGAGAGATGAGCAGAGGCTGAAGACTCAGGGCCTCTTGCTCTTGTTTGGTGTTTTGGCTCAAGGCTGGTGCTCTATTACTTGATCTACAGCTCCACTTCTGAGTTTTTTGCTGGTTAGTTGGAGATAAGAGTATCTCGGACTTATCTGCCTGAGCTGGTTTCCAATCATGGTCCTCAGATCCCAGCTTCCTGAATAGCCAGGATTACAGGTGTAAGCCATTGGTGCCTGGCTGGTTTCTAAGTGCTTCTCTTGCCTAAAATCTCTTCACAAGTGCCATTTCTCTTTATGCTTTCTTTCTTTTCTCTTCTTTCTTTCTTTCCTTCCTTCCTTCCTCTTTCTTTTCTCACAAAGACTGAGCTGTTTATTTACAATGGTGCCAACACAGTATATAGTAGTAGTTTTATAGAGTTTGATTTAGAAATGTATAGAAGTTGAGCATTAAAGAGGAATCATAATAAAAGGATCCATGGTTAAAGACAGTAAAAATCCTTTGTCTATCTATCCTCTTTTTCTCTTCAAATAAAAAGGGAAAATAATTCTAGAAAAAATTCTCTTCTGTGATACTTTAATTAGTTGGTACTAACAGTGATTATGTTACTGAGTCACAAAGAGATGCCCAGTGGCTGAGTTCAGACTAGGAGTCAGGTGCTGATGCTCCAGTTCCAGCGCTATTTTCAAAAGGCAAAGCAATTTATCTTCCTTAAAATACAGACACAAAAATGCCAGTGCCAAGGGGCTCCTTACAGGGATGATAAAAATACTCTAAAATTAGATTATGATGATCGTTGCACAATTCTGTGAATATGTTAAACCATTACATTGTAGACTCTCAGTGGGCCGATTTTATGCCAAGTGAATCATCTTAATAACGACGTTTTTAAAAAGGGCACCTAGGAGATTGATTGCTGAAGTTTAAATTACCTATGTAGAAACTAATGAAGGATAAAATTAATTTAAAAATTTCATGGTTCTTCTGTATTTACCCGAAATGTCAATTTTTTTTCAACCCCATGATTATCACAGTAAGGTGTAACAGACATAAATGCAAAGTGTATGCAAATCTTATAAAAACGGACAGGAAAAAAAATCAGGCAATGATCACATACTCTATAAAGGGATTACTAGGGGACCTCCTTGATGTGAGTCCCATATGACACAAATAGGCTGAAAGCTAGTGACAATTTACAGATCACTGTTTAGAAATCCCCTCAATAGATGGATGTTACAGTGACACTGAACAATTTCTGCAATGAGGAATATAAGGGCCACTTACCTTGTGACAAGGAACCAGGCAATTTTGCTGAAGTCCGGCGAAGTCCTCAGATATGTCTTGATATGTGGCATGGCATTGCTGCGGCCAGATGTCTCAGCAGACCACTTACTAGTGACAGAAGATAAACGATTAGTTAGGAAATGATCCACAATGGGAGGCGGTCTATGCCTGTAATTCCAGCTAACCAGGAGGTAGAGATCAGGAAGATAGTGGCTTGAAGCCAGGCAGGGCTAAAACTTCACAAGATGCCTTCCTAACAAAACAAGCTGAGCATGGCGATGCATTCCTGTCACCTTCACTGTGTAAGGACCATTGGTAGGAGGATCATAATTGGAGGCCAGCCCCAGTCAAAATATGAGACTTATCTAAAAAAATAAAAAAAAAAAAGAGCTGGGGGATATGACTCAAGTGATATACCAGCTGCCTAGCATTCAGAAAGCCTGGAGTATTGCCAAACAGAAGAAAAAAAATCAAATTGGCCATAATCCTAATATTAGGAAACAATTGCATAAAAAAGCAAAACCCTGTAATCTAAAAAATAGTAGGAGCACATTTCTGTGACCTGTGATAACAGTGTAAACTATTCAGACAACAGAATAGTATGATCCTTTTAGAAAGTGGGAATTTTTTAAAAAAGGAAATTTAGCATTGCTTCCCAAAGCACCCAAATCCTTTTGGCTACTGCCTTCTGTCTTTCTGCCCCTCCCCCCCCCCCCCCCCCCCACACACACACATTTGAGTAGATCCATTATTTCTGTTATGCTTTTTTATTTGGACCTGTGAACTCCTAACGGTAGGAATCAAAGTCCCACACTGTGCTGAGTAGAAAACTTAAATGAAACAAATACAAAGGGGACAAAATGTAGTCACCACTGAGTTGAGAAGTACACAGGGCTTCAGTCTTAGCTTTGCATTCTGTTTCTAAGTTCCCAACACTGCAGGGCTAAGGTGACATGGGAGTAAGCAGCCTGTCTCCTAGGCCCCCTAGCACTGTCGCTTAGCCTGCAAGTGTAGAATTAGGATGAGGGAGGCCCACCACATTCTTCAAGTGAATTCGGTCATCTGAGTTTGAAAGGAGCTCAATAGAAGGTCCTGGTAAGGGACAATCTGTCTACAAAGGTCTAAAGAAAGACTCTAGGATGATACACATATGTAGAGGAAAGCTACTGACATGTAATCCTGCCTTCACTTCCAGTTCCCAGTACAAAAATGACCTACTGAAGGAAGCATAGAATTAGGTTAAACCAAGGACATTCTTTCACTCTTCCATTCATTAATTCACTGGAGTCTGGTGACTTGGCTCCCTAGGAACAGTGGGCTGGGCTCTATCCTAGGCCATGCTCAGCCACACACCACCACAGGGCTGACAGAATGGTTCTTGTCCTATTCCAGAAAAGTCAAGGAAATGCTACTTATGCAAATATGAACTACCTCCGTGAGATCTTTTTATTTATCGTTTTCTCTGCATGTCAATATTTAAATAGAAGCTTCATGGAGATAAATTTTACTCCTTGGTATTAAAAACCTATTCCCAAAATATTTCCAAAACCTTGTTTTTAAATTATTTCTATCAGTAACATATGTAGAAGAAGGGAGAAGGTGACATTATATAAGGTTCCCTTTTTAAACAAAATAGACCGACAGAAATAACATCCTTACTCCTAAAGAAGTAATAGCAGCATTCTGGACCAATTACTTACTGAAAGTAGGAATGCAGCCAGCCTTGTTTCTCTGCTGTCTGGATGCTGTAAGGAAGAGAGCCCCCGGCTTTTAAAAGAAGAAAAAGAAAATAAAAATAACAAGCATTATTTGAACTTCCTCACTAAGAAGAATATCTATACTTAGCAGTGAAGGTAAATGAAAATCAACTTAAGATTTCATCTGAAGGAATAGTTCTGTGTGTGTGTGTGTGTGTGTGTGTATACCAGTGCGTGTGTGTGTGTGTGTGTGTGTGTATACCAGTGCGTGTGTGTGTGTGTGTGTGTGTGTGTGTGTGTGTGTGTGTGTGTGTGTGTGTGTGTGTGTGTGTGTGTGTGTGTGTGTGTGTGTGTGTGTGTGTGTGTATGCCAGTGCTAGGGCTTAGGACCTGAGCACCAGACCTTAACTTTTTGCTCAAGGCTGATACTCTACCACTTAAGCCATAGCACCAGTTTAAGCTTTTTGGTGGTTAATTGGAGATAAGAGTATCACAGACTTTTCTGCCTGGACTAGCTTCAAACAGTGATTCTCATATCTCAGCCTCCTAAGTAACTAGGATTACAGGTGTGAGCCACCACACTTGGCTTAGAAGCCAATTTTTGTGCATCTTTGGAAGGAAGATTGTAGATTCATCAGTGACTTAGGTAACATGTTAAACTTCTCCATAGTCATCTATATCTAAAGACTAGAAACAATCCCAGTATGGCATGTCCTGGCTCCTACTGCAAATAACTAAAGCTATAGTCCATTTTTGAACCAGTTAAAGTGTCTTTATTGAAAATACCACATTCTTCCCCATTACACATGCACATTAAATAGATCTAGCTTATTAGAGGTGCAGAAAAATTATAAAAGGAAAAACTACCATTATGTCTAAGCATCTTCATGAAATAATTTTAGTTTTGCCATTAAAAAGCAACAAATAGGCTACTGTACTCAGAACATTTTGAGATTTTTTTTTCTAACATGGTTACATCTAATTTGTTAAGTAATAAATGGGTTGAATTACTTGCAATTTAGTGCATTCTGCTTTCAGCCCTTAGTGATGCTAATTAGGTTGCTTTTTCAAGAGCACTCACTCGTGGGGATTTTACTTCATATCACTTGATTGCACTGTGTAGGGTGCTGTGAATTCCACACAGAACGTTAGTGCTCAGCAGTGGGTTAAGGGAAATGAATGGAAGATATGTACAAGGTAAAACGCTGGGCATTTGAAGATGAAGACCTTGGGGGGAAAAGTAGGACCTAGCAATGAAGGTACAGTAGCAGCAGTAATTGTAAATTCTAGATCTTAAGTTTATCTGTATCAGGAGTGCTACTGATCAAGATGCACTGTACTTATAATCTGACTTGTGAAACTGAAACTCCTTTGTACAACTACTTAAAATTAAAAAGACAAGGTGTTAGCCATGTCTGATGTTAGCCAAGGCACCTGAGTACTAGGAGAGGCTGATTTTAGATAAACATCTTACCAAGCAACACATTGGACACCCTACTGGTAAAAATGAGTAGAACGAGTGTTCACAGGGCTACTGTGAGGAACATAGAACATATGTGAGCTGCCCAACGCAGTGGTACCATCTCCAGCAAACCTAGTTTATGATCCTTACCCAGTATAGAGCAAACCTTCTCCCCATTTTCAGGCTCTTTTCTTTCTCTTCTCTTCTTTTCCCTCCCTCCCTTCTTCCTTCCTTTTTTTTTGTCCAATACTAGGTCTCAAACTTGATACCTGAACTTTCGCTCACTGGCTAGCACTCTTCTCACTGAGCCATGCCTCCACCCCATCTTCACATTTTTAAACAATATTGGAAACATTTTCAGGACATTTATGACAAAATACACAGACCCACAGCTGAGCCCACGCCCCCAGCAATTACCAGGGTATCCTTCTAAGCTGGTCCGCACGTTTTCCACAGAAGGATAGATCTATACAAAAAGATGATGTGAGTAATTAGGATAGACCTAATACTTAATTAAGATGATGAATCAGAAAAGAGAAGATAAACCTCGAAATGTACTGTGTTGAAAAAAAAAAAAGAAATGATGACCAGCTTTCAAGAAAATGCAAATCTCAATCGAAAATACTTAGTCTATGAGGAAGCTGGGATCTAAGGATCGTAGTTTGAAGCCAGCCTGATCAACAGAGTCTGTGAGACTCTTTTCTCCAATTACAGAAAACGCCAGAAGTGGTACTGTGGCTCAAGTGGTAGAGTGCTAACATTGAGCTCAGGGACAGTGCCCAGGCCCCCCAAAAAATTTTAAAAAAGAAAAGACTTACTCTAAAGTGAAGGGAGGGGTCACACTATCCAAAAAGCAAATGTACTCACTACCTGGCTTATGAAATTGTAACTCCTCTGTACAACACCTTAATAATAACAATAAAATTATGTTCAAACAGAAAAGACTTGGTGTAAAACAAATTGTAAGCTCCCATTTTAATAAGAGCTCTCATCTCACTGAAGAAAAAAGGGAACATGTAGTAATTAAACCTTAGGAAGTGTATATATGTGTAATAAAAAAATTACATTTTTCTCTGAATACTTTCCCCTCTGAAATGCCAAATTAATACTGAGTTGAATGTAAAAATGAATTGGTTCCCAGGCCTCTAAGTAATTAATAGAGCTCCTTATTCTGCTGCCACTATTATACCAAATAGTTTCTCCTGCACTGCTGGCTTAACAACCTGAAAGGAAGAATAGAAACAAGACAGGCCAGTCTGTGGCTGGAAGGACACAAGCCAGCCAACCCTCAGCATGAGCTGATACTAACTCAATTAAAATGACAACACTAACCCTGATCTCTCCAGGTCAGAATTATTGGGGGGAAAAAGCATCCCTGGCCAAGAAGATTGCTTTCTCCATCTTTTTCCAGAGACTACAAGTAAATTAACTGGAGGAGGAAGAGAACTCACCAAATGAAGAGGAGTGACACTTTTTCCGGGCATTTTGCTTTGCTCCCCCAGTGTGACCAAGCTCTCCTTGAACTCAGAACACAACCATTTGGACTCATCAGCCCCCAACGAGCCAATGCTTGAAAACTGGCCCACTATAGGCCAGCACTCAGCTTTAGGTATAGGTGAGACATGTTCCTTCAGAAGCTGTCAGAGAATAAAAAGAAATGCTGCAGTCACTCGAAGATAAAAACAGAAATACACAATACCTCAGAAGATGGACCTTTGCTTTTCAAATGCCTAATTTGCTAAGAAATGCTAGAGTAGAAATTAACTTCACATCCATATTTATGTTGTTCTTTAGGAAATACTTTTGAAGTACTAAAATGTATGTAATGTCTTTCAAAATAGTAGGAGGGGACAAGTGTTAATTTTCCAAAATTCTTTGATTTGTACTAAAAACAAAGATAGATTAAGAAATAATGGAAGCCAGGTGTTAGTGACTTAGGCCTATAATCCTAGGTACTCAGAAGTCTGAGATTTGATGATTATGATTTGGAGCCAGCCTGTGCAGATAAATCCCAAAGACTCTTATTTCCAATTAATCAGCAAAAAGCCAGAATAGGAGATGTGGGGGAGTCAGCTGTGTTAAAAAACAAACAACAAGAAAAATCTCCAACCAAGTCAGAGTTCAAGGCTCTGAGTTCGAGCCCCAGTACCGGCATATACACACATACACAAACACAAGAAACAAAAACTGATTTTTGTTTAGATTTGAGCTGCATCCCTAATATACATTATTACATGTGTGCAAATATCCCATGATCTGAAAAAGTAGGTGCTGAGTATTTCAGATAAGGACTGATCAACTGGAAAATTGTTTATAGAATGAGATGTAAGTTTTTCAGAAAGCCACTGGAGATAATTCACTAAGTCTGGACAACTGTCCAAAGAAAAATGAAGAAAACTCCATCTTGAATTTCCTTATTATTTTATCTTGACACAAACTTTTCTTTGTTCATTTTCCCCAGCAACAAATGCCATTTTAAAATAAGTTTTCTTAAGGGCACTGCATTGGGCTTGTAAACAACATATAGTATTAACTAATTTGGATGTTAAAAATTCCTTTTTTCTTTTTGCAGTACTGAGGCTCGAATCAGGGGCTTGTGTGGGCTAGGCACTTGAGCCATGCCTCTACTTCTTTTTGCTTCAGTTATTTTTGGATAGAATCTCTTATTTCTGTCTCAATCCAGCTTCAGATTGAAATCTACCTACTTAATGAATTCTATGTAGCTGGAATTACATACATGTATCACTACATACATTAAAAATTCTTGATATGTTGACAGCTACAATAGTTGTGTAAACTGTAAGCATAATTAGCTTTATTACAAGGAATGTAAAAAATCTAAGAAGACCATATACTTATGCCATTTAGAACAATATAGAGGCAAAAAAACCCCACCAACACCAACCCCCCAAATCAATTATAACAAAACAAAAACTCCACAAACACCCCCTCCAAAACCAAACCAAACCATCTTAAAAGTAATTATTGAATTATTTTTTAGGCAATCAACTTATGGATTGCCTGCTACTCTCCAAGAATTTTACTGGAAGTACTGTGAGGTTGCCAGTAATATATACAATTATAAATGAAAATGGAGCAAGAATATACATTAATTTTTAGAGCAATGTAAAAATAGTAAAAGTTCTATTACCTTCCTAAGCCTAAAATGTCCCCAATTATCTTTATGGCTTCCTTGAAAGCGTCCTGGAGTCGAACCAATAAGGTAAACACTAAAAAAAAATAATAATAAAAATAAAATGCAAGTTACTAAACACAGTGACCTGCCTTGCTAGCTTAAAAAAAAATCCCCATGGAAACCATACAATCCTGAGAGGTTGTAGGGCTGCCATTTCCTGGTTGAGCCTCCTTAAGTATAACAGATTCTCAGCGACACAGTTGGCAAGCCAGCTCAGGAGCAAGACTCACAACTACAAATGTGAAAAAGATACTCATTTTAAGAGTGACCCTATGGGAAGCTTAAGACCCACTGCCACTTTTAATGCCTGACAGCAATGAGATACAGACCTCGGCCAAATCTGCTTTCACCCTTTCCTCTCCTAGTGTAGCATAGACAAATACACACAGCCTTTCCCAAGGGCCTGTGTTCTAGACTTGCAAGCTGAAGCTATAGCAGGCAACTAGAGATTGTAAGAGAACACACGCACTCGTGCATGCATACACATACGCACACACACACACACACACATGCACGTACGCATGCACAGGCACATACGTACTTCGTCTCAGAGAGGTCATGCTCCTGGATGGTGTTGATCCACTCCTGGAGAGCAGGGTCATTGTAAGCCAGCAAGTAACGGATAAGATCAGCTTTAAAATGTGTTCTGGAATCTCCACAACTGTGGGCTCCAGGGTCAATTCGTGGATACAAGGGGCTCAACCAGATTCTGAAATGGAAAAACAAAAAGAAAACCTAATCTTTAATGGCTGGGAACACCAGTGATCATTAAACTCCCTTTGAATGGATTACACGCTGGCTCTGAGGAAGGGACTCCTGGCCGAGAGTCTTCCCGTGGTTCTTAGGACATAGAAATCCTGCCGGGGAACAACACTCTGCTGGCTTCCTATCCAAGTCACGTTCATTTCTGAATGCCTGGCCAAGACTCCTGCATCATGTCCACATCAGTGCAGCTCTTTAGCCAAATGGGAAATAAGAAATAAAAAATGCTCCCAGCTAAGGAAAGTACATGTACAAATATATTTTCAATGAATAAATCCATTTTCATAATGAATGTTACAGTGGTTTGGTATATTTTCATATCATTTACTCCCTGGCTTTTATAATGAGGATATATCACACTTAATATGTTAGGATCAACCTCAAATTCGTAAGCACTTAAAGACAGTTTCCCTATTTTCCTATTCTGATGGGACTATGGAGGAGTTGCCCAACTCCAAGCTGGCAGCCCAAAGCCCTGGGGGATGGCAGAGGCATAGATGACTGGGTGTGAACTCAGTGGACCCCAATCCCCATGGCTGAGGCTTTTAGAGATGGGGTGCAGACATCTCAACCCTAAATCAGTTGGGATGACACTGACGTGGAGAGGCACATCTAAGAGGAACACTTGAGTATAGAGCACATGAGTGGTACATGGCTCATAGGTGGAGCAGGCCCATGCCCCACGGCTGGAAGGCCTCTGATTTCAACTCAACCCCAGGTGTCACTGGCCCTCGGGAGAACTCAGTGTGAAGAAGGATGCTCTGGATTAGTTCTGGCCCAGTCATGTCCTTTGGCCGTGTGAGCAGGGGCTACACAAATGTCTGCATTTCTTCCAACACAGAGCACCGCCAAACAGCGCTTTGCTAGGGCAGGCAGAGATGTGTGGAATGGCTGTGAAACAAAGGACAAAGAAAGCTGTTCACAGCTTTTAAGGGAGGAAAGAGCTGAATTTCATTTATAGGTAGCTCTAAAATCCCTCTTTAATAAAAACCCCTCTTTTTAAAGAGGTTTCAAAAACTAGATCTGTACAACTACTTAATGATAATAAATTTAAGAAGTAAAAAAAAAGTATATACAGCCGGGCGCTGGTGGCTCAGGCCTGTAATCCTAGCTACTCAGGAGGCTGAGATCTGAGGATCGCGGTTTAAAGCCAGCCTGGGCAGGAGAGACCGTGAGACTCCTATCTCCAATAAACCACCAGAAAACCGGAAGTGGCGCTGTAGCTCAAGTGGTAGAGTGCTCGCCTTGAGCTGAAGAGCTGAGGGACAGCGCCCAGGCCCAGAGTTCAAGCCCCACGACCGACAAAAAAAAAAAAAAAGTATATACAATAACAGTGAATATAAAATCAAGTGGGGTGCAGGTGGCTCACACCTGTAATTCTATCTACTCAGAGGCTGCGATCTGAGGGTTGAGGTATGATGCCAGCCTGGGCAGACAAATCCCTGAGACTCGTATCTTCAACTAACCAGAAAAAAGTCAGAAGTGGAGCTATGGATAAAGTGGAAGAACACCAACTTTGAGAGGAAAAAAAGTGGCCTTGAATTCAAGACCTAGTACTGGAATAAACCAAAACCAAATCCTAACCCTCTCAAATTCAGCTCTTCTTGTGGAGATTCACACTAAAAAATAGTAACACCTTGAGTTTTTCCTTTGATACCTGTTTTGGAAAGACAAGGGTGAATGGAAGCCAAGAATGCTATGCGGTAAGTTCTGCTGAGAAAAGGAATTAGTTCAGGGTTCAAGTCTTTCATTTTGCAGCCTCTTTCTTGGCTCAGGTTCTTTGCACATGCTGCTCAGTCTACTTGGCTGGAGAGTATATGAGCACGACCTCAATTTCTGTAGAAACTAGGGGAAAAAAAAACTGCCATACATACAGCTACTTATGTTTATGAGTATAATAATGGCAGATGTGGATGAATGGTTATATACCAATGCTTATGCCTCAAGAGAGTGGAACAGGGCTGGGGGAGTAGTAAAGCATACTGTGGGGGCTGTGAGTGTGGCTCAGGGTATAGCACTAGCATATGTGAGGCCCTGGGTTCAGTCCCCAGCAACCACCAACAAATACCCAAAAACCCACAAACACCAAAAAAGCCTAACTCTTTCTGCATGTGGTTCTTTTCAAGGCCATCTAGACATTGTTTGTGCAATTAAACAACAGAAAAAGAGGAACAAAGTGAATGCTCTAGCTTTTGGTCCTTCCTGGCACAGGCAGTGACAACCATGAAGTGCGCAGGTGCTACAAACCCTTGGGTTTTCTGATGCCAGTCCTCTCGGATGAGGTTGGAGGTGTGGATGACGACGCGGAGGCCTTCTTCATACAGCAAGAGCATCATTTTCCTTCAAAGACAGAAAGGGAGCAGAAGGCAGGAACAGGATTTTCAGAGTATGCAGTACCTTTCTGATGCAGATGTAATAGCTAGAGGAATTCTTGAGCCCTTATATATTACCCAAAGTTTTATTAAAGTTTACAATCCTGCCCTTCTAAACATTACTATTATGGAAGTCTGTTTCAGTGACAGATGGAAAACCACCTTCAGAAAATGCTTGAATATTTGGTGGTAAATTTTCACTCCATGTAGCTGGTTCTAGCAAAGCTTTGTCCTCAGGCCTGGCCCATTATTTTTATTACTGTTGTTGTTGTTGCTTTGTAAGGGGCAAGTGTTCTACCACTGAGCTACATCCCCAGCCCAAGGCTGGCCCCTTAAGGTCTGTTGGACATCACCCAAGGGCAATAGGAACATCTTATAGGGTGTTTTCAAAGTATGGGTACAACCTCTTCGTGGCATGGCTAGGACAAGCCTGATTACACTGGACTCATTCATTTAAGAGTATATGCTCAGGAAGCCTGGTTTCAGCACACAGGCAAACCATGTACATGACACTGACAAATACAATGCATTTCTGACTGTGGGTTGCAATTCAAGTTGCCTTGTGAGATACTCCAGCCCTATTCCATGGACTTTTTGCATTCCAAAGATGTCACACTTTTCACCAGTCTGTATTTGGACTTGAAGCTAACATGATCTTTTGCTTCCCTGTTAACTCAATCAGGCCTGGGTAAGCTCGCTTTCTCCAGGCTGCTCAGCACCAAACACATTTCTCCTATTTCATTTTGTGTGAAAAAGAGGAGAGAGAGGATGTATCTAAGAAGATGTATCCATTTGGAGTTTGGGAGTTCTGAGCTTGAATCCATCCTTCTGCCAGTCTGTGTTCAAGAGTCTCAGCTTTTCACTTGGAACTTGGGAGAATAAATCCCAGCTTGGAACTGTTGTAAATGAAATAAAAATATATTGCATTACATGTTTCTTTTGTTTGCTTTTCAGAGGTATTGGGGTCTGAACTCTGGGTCTTGTATTAGAAGGCAAGCGCTCTACTACTTTAAACTATACCCCCAGCTCTTTTTGCTTTAGTTATTTTTCCGTCTTGCATTTTTGCCTGGATCGCAGCCTGTGGTCCTCCTGTGATGTTTAGCTGGAATCACTAGTATGTACCACCATGCCCAACTTGCTGGATGAGACAGTCTTGGGAACATTTTGCCTGGGCTGGCCTCTAACCACTATCCTGCCACTTCCTGGTTAGTTGGGATTATATGGGTGCTCTCATTAAATGTGAAATGCATGAATGCCATTCACTCCCATGATTCCTTTGGTTCTCTGCTTTATTTTGGCATCTAGTTTCCTCCAGTTGTCTTGTAATTATTTCAGGAATTTAAGTTTTCTCTCCCTAAATACAGTGTCACTTTTCAAGGTTGTAACTCTGGCTTGGCTGATTTTATCATTTCCTCGGAGGTTAAAATGCTACTAAATTCTTACAAATGTAACTGAGTCTGCAGGGGCAAAAACAATGACCCATCGCTTCTTCCCAAGCAAACATGCTCATGGGCACAGCTCTTGCCAAAATGCGAAATTAACGCAAGCTGGCAAACAGCTTCATGCAAGGCTGGAGAATTGACAGCTGTCGAGCCATTTTCTTTCCAGCTACGCGACTTGCTCCCTGAAATCTGGGCAAATTGGCACACAGAGTTGCCATGTTAGCAGCTGATTATAATTAAGGATGAGCCAGTTGGGGATTCATGATAGAAGCTTTACAAATATTTCCATTAATCAAGGCATCAATTACGAGGAAAATCACGCGCTGATGTCAGTGAATCCCATCAAATAGAATTATGAATTAATTTAAGGGGAACCATATTAATCTTCTCATAGATGACTCGGTGTGCTAATAAGGTCACAGTTAAAAACAGAAAAGGGTGAGCAACGGGCGCTCCCCAAAGGAGGGAAGACATGCAGCGTTGTCTCTAAGTGGTGCGGTGGCCAAAGGGTCACTTCCCAAATGGGAAATCAGGCATGAAGAGGGTGGATGCAGTGAACGTGTGCCAGGCACTATTCTAATTGCTCTAAGTGTGTGTCACCACGCTGAGCCCCAAGGGCGATGCATAGAGGAACAGCTATCTTCATTGTCCAGCTGTAGGATTGTGGTTGGGAGGAGTAGCGACTATGCAGGTCACCCATGGCAGAGCTGACGAGAATCACACATGCTAGATGACAGGTAGTTGGTCCCCTCACTGTGAATGGCTGATACTGGTGACATTCATGTTATTAGGGAAGGAGTGGGAAGAGAGGACTACATGGGGGTAGGAGGATCAGCAAGTGAGGTGAGAGAGAAAAAGGATGGATGCCCTACCGATTCTACTCTTTGATTGGCTCTGGCTTAGATGGACACACTGGCCCTCCAACTGCTTTGCTTTCTCTTCCTCCCTTACCTACCCTGCAGGTCATCAGAACTAACTGTGCTCCCAGCTCTGAGGGGAAGAGTTTATCATCCTAAAACATCATCAGATAGTCCAGGGACTGCACAGCATCCCACAGACACCGGACAGGGGCGGGTCTGGTGCCTCAGGACACTGTAAGCTTCAGGGGCTGAATCTTAGCTATTTCCATGTCCTCTGGACACAGAACCTAGGCAATACATGCTTGCTTAGGTTGTGTGTCATCTCAGAGATGTCCCCATGGTCACTGTTGTTACAGACCTCCATCCTGCCCGCCTGGGGAGGCTGCTGTGCCCTCTCCCTAGCAGCTGATAGGACTTTCTCCTGTTCTAACTCATGTGTGCTTTGCTTCTCTCACTCAGAGGGGGACAGCTATATGTCAACAGCCATGACTCAATAACCTAATAGGGCCAGCTGATGGTGGCTCACACCTGTAATCCTAGCTACTTAGGAGGCTGAGATGTGAGAATCACAGTTCAAAGCCAGCACGGGTAGGAATGTCCGTGAGACTCTTATCTCCAATAAACCACCAGAAAACTGGAAGTGGCACTGTGGCTCAATTGGTAGAGGGCTCGCCTTGAGCTGAAGAGCTGAGGGACAGCGCCCAGGCCCAGAGTTCAAGCCCCACGACTGAGAGAGCACAAGTGAGCGAGAGAAAGAGGTGAGTCCTGGGGATTGAACTCAGGGCCTGGGCACTACCCCTGAGCATTTCTGCTCTAAGGTAGCATTCTACCACTTGAGCCACAGCTCCACTTCTGGCTTTTTGGTGGCTAAATGGAGAAAAAAACTCTCACAGACTTTCTTCCTAGGCTGGCTTGGAATCACAATCCTCAGATCTCAGCCTCCTGAGTAGCTAGGGTTACAGGTGTCAGTCCCTGGTTTTTGCCACAATTAAACTAGAAATACACTCTCCCCCTCCTTGCCAGTGAAGCATTGCTGGCCCAGGTCCTGAGCAGGCCCACCATGCTCAGTCCCCTCTGGGATGACAGCGTAAGTGACACTGTCCTTGACAACAGAGAGCACCAAAGCGCAGGGAGACTATTTACTGGTCATGCTCATTACATAAGGCAGAGCGCGTGGCCATCGCAGGTTCCAGTGCTAGTGGTGTAGCAAGTCACTCCAAATAAGTGATAGGCTGCTTGTCTTCTAGAGGCAGCCGTGTCTCTTTGCTGGGGCTCCAGCTAAGTGGGGGAGCCAAGGACTTGCCATTTTGTCTTATGTGTACTGCTAAGCCATCTCTACTGGAAGCATTTGATATTCTCTGGCAACACTGGTACCTTGTAAGCTCAGTGGTACGAAAGGAGTATTTTGTGAGTGAGTTTGGTACGTGGACTCACGCTCAGTTCTCAAGTTCTATCTTTGCTGGATGAGAGCTACCATCGGGGATGGTCTGTAGATCCTGCCCCATCCACTGACAACACCTATAACGAGATGGCATCTGGGTGACACATGCCCTCTTGTGGAAGGCCTGAACTGCTTCCGTGCTAGCTCCTTTTCAAGAGGCATTGTCAAAACAGCCCATTTGAAGCACATGCAGTATAATATCACCATTTCAGGCCACCCGAGCAACAGTAATCCCAGGCAGACTCAAGCTAAACATGGCTTCCCAGGAGATTGCTTTGTTCTCCCAGGGCAGCCAGCTTCCCAGCTCCACTATTGGTTGAGAAAGGAGATGAGGCTTCCCAGAGAACTGTGACTTAAATTAGGTGCAATGTGTCCAGCAGCAAGTAACAGAAAGGGCTTTCCTGTCTGTACTTACATCTCAGATAATCACCAAAAAGTCCGTCTTGGCTGGGGCAGGCAACTCAAGCTAACAACTTTTAGCAAGACCAGGCTTCTTTGTATCATGGTGTGAGGCTGACCACAAGTATGCTGCTCAATACATCTCATGCTGACTCAAATCACAACTGCTCACAAGCTGGGGAGACCCACAGACATGTGGCTTCCACATTTCCAATCACCTACGACCACAAGGTCCACACCACTGTGGCTTAGAACTTCCAAACCCAGTACCCAGAGCCTTGACCAGAAGGTGGAATTTCAGTCACAGGTTCGTACTTCTAGCTGGACTAAAGAATCTCAGTATTACATTTAGTTCTATTGCTAAACGACCCACTCCTTCCGCTACTAGTGGTTGTTTTTCTTCTCCTGCAGAAGTCATGCATCAATCATTATTATTAGGGCACTGCTAATAAACATATCCTCACCTATTTCAGAAGAGGTACTTACGTGTGATGGGTTCCAAATGCTATATCCAGTTTTGCCTAGGATAAAAAAGAAGTCATTTTATTTAAAGTCTCAATTAAGATTCCTGTCTATTTGAAATTAAACTAGAAAAAGAGCAAGGCAGTTTTTAAAGAACCATGTTTGCTGCCCTCTAGTGGACAATAACTTGAATAAAGAGCTTTTATGGTACTGGGTGAGGTTCATTTAAACACAAACAAGTACATACACACACGCACACACAGAGTTTTTTCAGCATAATTCAATACACAGTGTATTTTTAATTATGGTAATTAGGAGTAAGAAGCCTATTTTCTTTAGGTGTAAAAAACCAAAATTGATTTTAACTAAAGTTTTAGGGTTTTTTTTTGGTCGGTCATGGGGCTTGAACTCTGGGCCTGGGCTCTGTCCCTCAGCTCAAGGCTAGCACTCTACCACTTGAGCCACAGCACCACTTCCAGTTTTTGGTTGTTTCTTGGAGATAAGAGTCTCATGGACTTTCCTGCCCGGGCTGGCTTTGAACCATGATCCTCAGATTTCAGCCTTCTGAGTAGCTAGGATCACTGGTGCCCAGCTTGTAAAACTAAGTTTTAAAATTAGATATTTTGTTTATTATAAGAAACTGATTGTTTTTAGAGCATATTAAAGAAACAATGAACATGGCACAACATGAAGGCATACTGTGATGTCAAAACAGAAACATTCTTGCACTGAAAAGATAGTAAGTGCTGGAGATAAAAAGATATTTCGTACATTTTTTTTGCATTTGCATTGCAAATGGAGGGTAGGTAGAAAAAGAACACATTATATCTAACATGCAGCTCAGCAAGACCTTGGTTAAAAGGATATGCCACGCTGGGAAAGAGCATGGTAAGACAAGTGCTTGAGTTTGACTACAAATGGTGAGCTCATGGGCAGCTCAAAGCACAAAACAGGGATGATGCTAACTTAATATACATAAGGGGTGCCTTCTGGGGCAGAAATCAGAAATCAGAAATCTGTTTCAGACATGAACAAATCAGGACTACATGTCAAAGTAGAATGACAATCTGAGCCGAACATCGGTGACCCTGTCTAATTCACATTTTGAACCCCCAATGAGACTGAACTGCAGAGTGGGACTTCACGGCGATAACTAAGGTTAAATGAAGTGGTAGGTGGAGAGGAGGTGATCCAATACAGTGAGCGCCCACAGAAGATGGACTCTCTCCCCATGAGGAGGTGCTCCTCCCGAGAGGAGCCAGGACAAGGGTCTCCCCAGGGACCGAAGCAACTTATCCCTTGATCTGAGATTCCCTAGTTTTCACATGAGGAAGAAATAAATGTTTAATAGAAGTTTAAGCTGGCTAGTCCAAACAAACAACAAAAGGCCATCTAGGGATTATTATTTTTGTTCTAGCAGCCTGACTAGATTGGGACACACAGGCTGAGAGCTGGGCAGAATCCAGGCAGTACAATGATCCCGGACCACCACAAGGCCTCGCTCTCCAGCACAGGCCCTGTATTTGCAAAACAAGAAAAATGTCAGCATCTATTCATTCTGTGACAAATGTCCCTTGGCTTCAATGACGACACGGTGTGATGAAAATTTTAAAAATTCATCTTACACACAATAGTTAAAGGCATTTTAAAAGTTCAGGATGGGGCCACACGCCCTCTGTATCTTCAGTAAAGCTGGGTGCTTGGCGCAGCTCTTTACAGGTTTGGAAGTGTCTCCTATGCCCTCTAGTGGCCAGCAAGGAGCATGTGACCAGCTGTAGGGCTTTCCTAAACTTTCCAGTGTGGGTAGTTACTATTTAGAAGACACGGTTGCCATTTCTTATAATTACTGGCATTTAGGACTCCTGTGACAATGTTTTAGTCTGGAGCTCTCTACCTAACTCCTTCTGCTGCTGAGCAAAGAAGCAAAACAATGGAACTTCAGGCAACTCCCAGCTGTGTGTCTAAGATGAACCACAAACATACTGGGAGGAAGGAGGTGTGTGCTGATCAGGCTCAGTGTCTTGTGTGTATTAGGCAAGTGTTCTAACACTGAGCTACAGCCCTAGCCTACATAGGTTTTGAAAACACAACTATATAAAGCATGGTGGATTAAAAACGTTGTGATGTGTACTGCTAAAACCTGATTAGATTGAACTCTTGCACAGGGATCATTTATAGTGAGAAGAATGATAAAATGTGAAATGTGAGTTGTAATGTTCATATTTTGTGGGAGAGGGGGAAAAGACCCAGAGAAGGAATCTGGATGTGGTATCTCCAAGAGCAGAAATTGCATGTCATGTACACAAATGTATTAACCGAAGTATAGTATATGCAGAGGGAGAATTCAAACCATGGTTTAACTCCTTAGAATAATTAGCTCACAGTCTATCAAAATAAATACCAAGAAGCTGCTACTTGGCGTGTGTAGGTGGGGGAAATCAAAAAGGAAGGTGGGGCGTGGGGAATAAAGTCTCAATATCATATATATGAAAATGGAACTAGGCCCTTTTAGGGGATTGGGTGGTGTTGGAAGAGATGGGGGAGAATGACAGAAAGGGTGACATAGTCCAAGATGCATTGTACTCATAAACTGACATGTTAAATGGTAATCCCTTTGTACAACTAAAGACAGAGCCCCCTCCCCCCCCAGCAGCACAGAGGGAAGTAAATGCCTGAACCTGAAAGAACGAAAGGAAGCAGGTAGATGACCGAACCAAGGCATCACTGCATGTGTAGGGAAGACATCTGTTCTGCGTGCTTCCAGAGCAGGAAAACTGGGACCATTGTGTGGAAGGGGCAAGGAGGAAGACCTCAGGTGAACTGAAGGGAAGTCTTTCTAGCCATGGGGGGAGGGGGGTTCCCACCAATGGACGGTGGTGCTGGAGGATTTCTGCCCTAGGAGGCAGGATGGACTAGAACTCCTTCCAACCCACGTTAAATGGCCCGCAGACCGCTTACCTGACAGAGGGAAACGTTTCCATAAGGCTTTGCCTGGGCATGCAAGTGAGCCTTAGCCTCGCGTTTATCGCCATGCACAAGCAGGATTGGTTTCTTCCTGCAAGGAGATGAGAGTGAGCAGAGCTTAGCTGGTGATGGGCCACAGCCTGAGCCTGAAGCCTGCTGGGCTACAGTGGGGGAGGGGTGGCAATGCAGCAAAGTCCTTGGTTATTTCCTTTCTTTGGTCTAAATGAGCACATAGATAACTATTTGTTTATATAGTTAAGATTCAATTGGGCCTAGAACTTACTAATCAGGCACTTTACTGCTTGAGCCTTCAGTATTTTTCCAAACAGGGTCTTGCTTTTTGCCTCAATCACCCTGTATTGTGATACCCCTAATTTACACTAATTGGTAGCTGAGATGACACGCACATACCACTACTCTCAACTTTTTATTGGTTGAGATGGGGGGGGAAAGGGGGGGAGAAGAGGGGGGTGTCTTATGAACTTTTTGCCCAGGCTGGCCTTGAACCACAATCATCCTAAAAGACAACTATTATTGTATAGTCTGATGTTTCTTTTTCCTTATTTTTTGGATTAAGCAACAGATACATATCACACTGCACCTATATGCCCCAAAGCCATATTATATGCTATGTATACTGTGCATTAACCAGGATGCAAAAGTAGGTAGGCCCCAAACCAGGCACAGTGGTGCATGCCTGTAATCCCAGACTTTGGGAAGTAGAGCAGGAGGATAGTAGTTCATAGCTAGACTAGGGAACACAGCAAGTTCCAAGCTAGCCTAGGCTACATGTAAGACAGTGTCTCTAAATAAACAAATAAATAAATAAATAACAAAAAAGGGAACCTGTCTCAAGCCCACAGACTGAAAGAGATTTGTAAAGACATAGCTGGGTTTCAGGGGACCAGAGCCCAAAACATATTGCCATTGTTTGAATTCTGAAGACTCCATGAAAAGAGTCTTTGGAAACAAACTTAAATGGCTTCTGCGGGAATCCTTTATCATCTCCAGTTAACTCAAAGCAAGATGATCCTTAGAAATCAGTATGCTGCTACTAGGGCTTCCAGCACAAGAAAAATGGAATTTTTCTCCGGCAAGCAATCGAGCGATTTCATACCTGCAGCCGCTTCCTCATGATTCTGCCACATGTCACACGAAAGGATGACATTCAGCTGGAAAACCACACCACCGCTCATGCCCCTTCAGTGCTAATGCCCAACTGTCTCACACCCACCTCAGCTTTACTCTAACCGGGCAGGCAAAGCTCAACAAGGCGGCTTATATTCTAACCTTTTTCCTACTTGGAAAAAATAAGTTACAACTGGAAAAACTGTATGGAGGAAAAAACTTCAGAAATACGTACACGTCTAACACCTGGATACAAGGAATGTCATCAGGTCATAAGGACATTTTGAAAAAGATAAAAGATGATTAATTTTCTATGCACACATTCTAGATGTGAACTAAGGGACTGTGGCTGTGGACAGGGTGGTAGATATTGTGTAAGGTTGGAAGTGCTGCTCTAACAAAATGTTAACAATACTGGGTAGCTCAAACTACCCAGTTTCAGAAGCAAGAACTCTGAGATCATTCTCCTGAAGCTGTGTGGGAAAGCCCGCCTCTGGCAGTCTCCTGTGTTCCTGATGTCTTTCATCTGTTTATCTACATTTCCTTTTTTTTTTTGGCCAGTCCTGGGGCTTGAACTCTGGGCCTACACACTTGTCCCTGGGCTCCTTTTGCTCAAGGCTGGTGCTCTCCTATTTCATCCACAGCTCCACTTCCAGCTTTTTAGTGGTTCATTGGAGATAAGAGTCTCACAGACTTTCCTGCCTGGGCTGCCTTCGAACCATGATTCCTCAGCCTCCTGAGTAGATAGGATTACAGGCACGAGGCACGTTTCCTTTTCTAATGAGGACAACAGGCTTATGGATTCTACTCTTCCCCAACCCCAATGACCTCAGTGAGACTTGACTTGATCCTCTCTGTAAAGCTGATCTCCAAATGCAGTTGTATTGGGAGATGAAGAACCACGCTTAGTTTAGGATTCTTAACCAGTCTTTCACTGGAATTATCTAGAGGAGTGAGTAAAGGAAGTACAGTCTACACATTGCCAATACTGTACAGAGGTGGGGATGGGGAGGACTGGCCTTCAGGGTCTTTGAGAAGCAAAAAGAAGAGAGAAAGGGTCAGTGCAACACAGGGGCATGCTGCAGGAGCTGGTGGCAGTGGTCATGGTGCCTCTGGACAGCTACTCTCTCCTTTTCTAGCAAAGCTGGATTTTATGGAAGACAAAGTGTGCTCAGCTAGAGGATCTTACTTCCGGTGTCCCTTAGAGCTGGTTAGTTTGTGAGGCAGAGCTGCGCTCAGTGAACAGAAGCAGGTGTTGTGTGGGACCTGCCAGGCCAGCGGCTTGCAGGGGTATGGATGAGACATCAGCCCTTTCTTTCTTCTCTTCCTTCCTGTTACCTGGAACTCAGACAAGAGCTGCAGCAAAGACGGCCATCCTAGACCATGAGGGAACTTAAGATTTAAGTCACACACTAGGACACTGGGACAAAGACAGAAAAGGTAGATGGAGAGCTCGTGGAGAAGAATCATGGTGCTCCTACTCTAGACACACATTGTTTCCAGACTCAGGCTAGAAAATCTAATTTCTGCTTTGCTTGAGCTATTGTATTCTGGGTTTTCTGTTAACATGCAGCTAAACTGAGGCTTTGAGTGCCCAAGTTGCCTGAGAAATTTTAATATCTCACCATGCACAAAGGATTTCATGTCTTCCTTGTATATGTATTCTTCTACCCTCCTTGCTGTTATGATTCTGCCACATACATAAACGTGTGAGAGTCAGAGATAAGCACCTGTCAATGTGCACAGCTATGCTTATCTGGTCTGCATGGCTGCTGGTGGCAGAACAGAAAATCCATCACCCCCATGGCATGGATACAGGAAGGTCAGGACCTTCTTTCTCAACTCTAGACCCAAAGGAAGAACCATCCAAGAAACTAAGAGATCTTCAGAGATGCACAGTACTGATGTGCTAAGCAAAGACTGGTATGCTGGATCCCTGCATGGAATGTGTATGTCCAGACACAACTCGGACATGATCGCTTCCTTCATGCTTCCATTGAACACAAAGTCCCATTATTTGCATTGGAATTTGTCCTTATCTACTTCTAGATAGAACACAGAGGGAAACGCTACAATCTGTAGAAAAGAATGCTTGTGACTTAATGATTGGAAACTGTGGTTTCCCCCAAATAATCTCTGTATGATTTCAATGGTGTCATAAGAGATGGGTGGCTTTTGCCTGAGAAATCTTTCAGTCTTGTGTTAGAAAGTACTACCGATGAGGGTGTCCCAGTACCCGCGGGACTCACCTGAACTCGGGTGGATACTGCCTTATGAGCCAGTCCACATCAAAGCAGTAGTTAAACTAGACAGAGGAGAAAGAGAGTCACAGGTAATTCAACCAGGCAGAATGGGAGAAACTGTTATTTAAATGGAAAGACACTCTAAAATAATAATGCACTACATGTATTATTTAGAAACCTAGTTATGCTGCAACACCCATAAATGACCCTGAAATTATCTTCAAGAAATATACTGCTAAAGCCACTCACATAAATGGAGCCAACTGCACGAGGAAGTAGGCTCTAAGGAAATTATCTCCACAGGTTTCGGGCAGGGTTTGTACTTGTCAACAGGGTTTAGATGATTTCAAGTAACCCTGAAGTTAAATTCTCATAGCTCTGAGATGTATTTAAAAAGATGTGACCTTTTTCCTCTAGGTACTTGTAGAAAGATATATACTAGAGATAAAGATCCCAGGACTTGTACGAAAGGGAATTTCCTTTCAGCTGAACTTCTCAGAGGGCTTGGTTCACAGGCCTCGGGGTGTGCGTGCTCATTAGGCTAATAATACTCACACTTTTTTTCTTTTTTTGGTGCCATTCCTGGGACTTGAACTCAGGGCCTCTGCTCTCACTTGGCTTTCTCGCTCATGGCTAGCTTGCCACCACTTCAGTCATGGCTCTAACTTTCCAGATTTTGCTGGCTAATTTGAGATAAGACCCACATAGGCTGTTCTGTTTGCTGGCTTTGAACCATGATTTTCAGACTCCAGCCTTCTGAGTAGCTAGGGTTATAGGTGCCCAGTTAACAATCACATCTTGACCACATGTTCTACACTGGTCTTACCTTAGTGGCCTCTTCTCACACCCACAGAATTCTGAACACAGAAGCCCAAATTAGCTCAGAGAGCAGAGTACCCACAAATTCACCACACATCCCACTGGAGACTAGGATTCTCAAGGGCAAACCAAGCAAGAAGGGACCAAGCAGGCTAGCTTGCTTCAAATGACAAGCATCTTTTCTATCTCTTAAGAATCTGTGCTGTTACTGTGCCTAAACACCAACAGACCAGCCTAGCCAGGGAGGAGGTGGACATGCCCAAGTCCCCTTCGGGCCCTTTCACTACTCTCTGGGATGTGAAGAATACTTGTGTTTTTTTCCTAAAACAAATCAAAATTAACTTGCCCTTCACCATCCACGCTCTCCCCAGGGATGCCAGCATCATCCTTTGAAATCATCAGGGTTCTAAAAAGTCATATTTCAGGTTGGATTATCCAAAACAACTTTCTGGCTACTCCTTGTGGCATGGTCAAGAGTCAAATGTGAACTGGCATTGGTGGCTCACACTTGTCATCCTAGCTACTCAGGAGGCTGAGATCTGAGGATCACAGTTCGAAACCAGCCTGGGCAGGAAAGCCTGTGAGACTCATCTCCAATTAAATGCCAAAATGCTGGAGATGGAGCTGTGGCTCAAGGGGTGGAATGCTAGTGTTGAACAAAAAAAAGTTCGGGGACAGTGTCCAGGTTCTGACTTCAAGCCCTAGGACTAGGAAAAAAAAAAAAGCAGATATGACCCACAGTCATTCATATTCTGTGTCAGTGCCTATACATCCCACAATGAGGGTACTTGGGGGCTGACTCCGGACAGGGACCTTCCACAGGACTGACGTATGTTCTGTTATAAAGTCATTTAATTATTGCCCACCTGAACAACATCAACAACAAGATCAACAACAACAAAACTTTACACTCACCTGAGCTGAAGAAACAAGCGTCCCAAATAGAGGAGATAAAATATCTACAAAGACAAAAGATAAAAATAGGATTCAGTCAGACAAAAAAAATCCTTAGGCCTAACAAGCATCATTATCTTATGTAACAGTTATGGATCATAAGGATTTGGATCAGAAAATAAGAAACTGAAAAGCTACCACAAAGTGACTAATACTTTAAAAAAATGTATGAAAAAAATGTCCCCATGCCATCATATGGTATTTATTACATGTCCTTTTACAAAATACAATGTAAAACTAAAATCTAACACTTCAATAGTAGCAGAGCTTTGAAGCTGTTAACACAGGTAACATGATGCCTGTTCATTCCAGGATCTGTGAATCTTCACATCTCCAAAATCCCTACTATTGTCTCTATCTTTTGAAATCTGGTCCATCTTTCAAGAACCATTTGAAGTCCCCCTTCCTCCATGAGATCTTCTAGACCACTCACAGTTCCAGCTTATGGGAGTCTGGCATAACAAACTGCATAGATTTAGATACCAGGAAGTCTTGAGTTAAGCCACAGCTCTGTGAACTTGGGCAGTAACTGTTCTAAACCCCAGATGATGTCCACAGAGGACCTCATGGGTTGTTCTGAGGGTAAAATATACTTAAAAGCTCTTTTCATGACATGATCTCCTCTTCTTCAAATCCTGGTGTTCCATCAAAACAAAACAATAAAACAAAAACAATTACAAAGAAAAAACCCCCCAAAAGATAGTCTACAGAATGGGAGAAAACATATTTCAAGCTAGTCAAAGAATAAAGAGAAGTATCCAGAATATACAAAGAGCTAATAAAAAAAATTAGTCAGCATAAGAACAAATTCAATAAATGGGCAAATGATCTGCAAACACAGTTCTTGGAAGAAGTACAAGTGGCTACTAACACAAAAATGTTCGTTTCCTTAGACATAAAGGAAATGCATACCAAAACTACATTAAGATCCCATTTCATCCTAGTGAGAGGGGCAGCCATCAAGAAAAAACAGCAAATGCTATTGAGGATGTAGGGGATAAAGAACCCTTATACTAAAAAACAGACCTACCTTACGATCCTGCCCTATCATTCTTGGTCATACGCCTAAAGGAGTGTGAATCAATATACAATCAAGGTACCTGAACACCCATGTTTACTGCAGCACTGATCACAGAAATCAGCTGAAATGTGCAACCACTGATAGATGGAAAATACTAATACAGAGATAGAGCGGGAGATCATCATGTGGAGATAAGCCAAGCTTAAATGGCCAAATTGCATTTTCTCACTCATTTGTAGTACCTAGACCCTAAATAATGATGATGATGATGATGATGATGATGATGATGATGGATGATGGAGTATGTATGTAAATGAGGCACTTCTGGATTGGGTTGAGTGGGAGGGGGAAGGAAATACCGAGGAGTGAAGAGGAACAAAGTATATTACACACAAACATACACACACACACACACACACACACACACACAAAGACAACCAATGGAACTTTCCAAATACTGTTTGAAAAAGAAGGAAAGAGGAAAGGGTAGAAGGGTGATATCATGGGGGGTGGGGGCGAACTTAATCAAAATTCACTAAGTGGATGTACAACATTATTACAAGGAGATTCTCCTCTTACTTTTTTTTTTTCCTGCTGGTCCTGGGACTTGGGCTCTGTTCCTATCTTTTCTGCTAGCATTCTGCCACCTGAGTCACAACTGCACTTCTGGCTTTTCTGGTGTTTAAATGGAGATAAGCACTTTCCTGCCTGAGCTGGCTTTGAACTGGGATACTCAGATCTCAGCCTCCAGAGCAGCTAGGACTACAAGCGTAAGCCATCAGTGGCTAGATCCCCTCTTACTATTTTGGCACTGTTTTCTGTGTTGTTCTCTCTAAAACAAAAGCACTGACAACTATCACTGATTTCTTCAGAGTATCTAGAAAAGAGATTCTTTAAAAAACTGTACAATTGAACTCATTACAATATGGGATTCAATTCATCAACAATTTACATTTAACACACAAGATATACAGATATATGAGCCAGAAAAAAAGGTTAATCTGAAAGAAGAGGAATCAGGTTTGTTGTTAAATCTGCCATGTGAATATACTGTTTAGGTCACTTCACACATTTGCGTGCTTTTCTGAACCCCGGTGTAGGGATGAGAGCCCTAAAACCTGAGGAATGCCAGGTCCTGAGTTAACTACAGACCAAATGAATGGTGGGTAGTGAATTTGCCTTCAAGTTTAGAGCTCCTATCTGAATGGCTGGTGGCTCACACCTATAATCCTAGCTACTCAGGAGGCTGAGATCTGAGGATGAAAGTTCAAAGCCACCCTGAGCAGAAAAGTCCATTAGATTCCTATCCCTAGTTAACTAGGAAAAAAAAAAAAAAAAAAGAGCTGGAAATGGAGCTATGGCTCAAGTGATAGTGTCAGCCTTGAGTGTATAAAGTCATGCAAGAGCATGAGGCCCTGAGTTCAAGTCCTAGTACTGGTGAAAAGAAAAAAATCTAGAGCTCCTGCCATCTGTAGCTATGGAGAACCACCAAAGGCCAACTTCTATTCCATCTCTGAAACATCTAGCTATGTGCTCTCCCTCTGGCTTTTGTTACAGGAACCCAGTCAGGTAACCTGACTAGACATTAGACTCCCCTGGAAGGCTTGTGAAAGCAAACTGCAGGTGCTGGCCCCAAGTTTGAGTCAATGAATCTGGGGTAAAGCTGAGAATGTGCATTCTCATGTGGCTGTCCCAGGGAGCAAGGCGAACAGCCGCCGTTAGGACGATGCTGTCTTGTTGAGGCAGTGCCACTGGTCAAGTTTAATTTTCACGTTAAATCCTGTGCTCAGGATCACCAGAGGCTGAGAATAAATGCCACCTACCCTCAGTAATCAGTTTCCTGTCAAACTCAGGCACCTGCTTATCAGAGAGAATTCTCCCTTCTCCCCCTCCAGTAAGTTAAGACACACAGGACCTGGAGGCGATCCCAGGCTGCCCTACTTGATTGGCAGGGAACGTGCCGGAACACTGTGCATCCTTACCCTTGATGTGCAGGGCTTTGCAGTTGTACTTCGCCTTAATTCCTGAGACTCTAGTGAGGTAAAACTGGAAAGGATTCCCTTTATCCAGCATGTCCCAAATGTCCTGGCCTTCCCCTGATGTCTCGTACTCATCTTTTTCCTCTCTGAGCCTGTGGCTAGCAGGAGGGCCAAGATCTGGGGCTTTGGGGGCAGCACCAGGTTTGGGAGAGGAGATGTCCTTTTCTTCTTTGACCAGCATGTTCTTGGCCTGAGGCTGCTGCTGCTCCTGCCATCCTGGCTGCAGCTCATCATCACTACTGGACAGACACCAGCCTAGGTCTTCCTGGGAACCACTCTTCTGCTTCTTGGGAGGTGAAACCGATTCTGTGTTGCTGAATTTCACAGGTGAGGTCTGTCTTCTGTGCGCAGCTTTCCGAGCCTCGGAGCAGGTGTATTTTGGCTCATTCCTGGCTCCCTGCTGAGCATGGGGGAGAGAAGATGTGCATGGCTTCTCCAATGGAGGTCGTGGGGGCTTCTCATCCTCGCTTTCATCACTGCTGGATATGGTCCACCTCCCGTAACTGCTTTCCTGAGTCATTGTGCTTCTGGAAAGGAAAGGTGGAAATATTTCCCATTCAATAAGCCACTGGCAAAATAATTTTATTACCTACAAATTCCCTATCAGATGAACTTCTACAACAGGTGCAGTACTTCTGACACCTAACAGAGGCTGGGTCACATAACTTGAGTCATTTCACACACTCTCCCTTGGACATCTTATTCTTAGATGCCCTTAGGGAAGAAGCTGGAGCCCAATTCTTAACCAAAATACTGGTTAACTCTGAAGCTTCTAACAAGAGCTTGGGGTTAAGGCCAATTTAAGGAATTTTAAGAGTCATTTTAAGATAAGCACTAGTGGCTCACATCTGTAATCCCAGCTTTATAAAAGAGACTATGATCTGAGAATCATGTTCAAAGCCAGCCCGGGCAGGAAAGTCCGTGAAACTCTTACCTCCAATGAACCACCAAAGAAGCTGGAAGTAGAGTTGTGGCTCAATTGAAAAAGCTTAAAGATAGCACCCAGGCTTTCAGTTTAAGCCCCAGTGGTAGCACAAGAAAAAAAAAAAGTAAAAAAAAGTAATCCCCCCTCCCTATTTTTTTTTTTTTTTGGTCGGTCATGGGGCTTGAACTCTGGGCTTGGGCGCTGTCACTGCGCTCTTCAGCTCAAGTCGAGCGCTCTACTACTTGAGCCACAACACCACTTCTGGTTTTCTAGTGGTTTATTGGAGATCAGAGTCTCACGGACTTTCCTGCCCGGGCTGGCTTTGAACCGCGATCCTCAGATCTCAGCCTCCTGAGTAGCTAGCATTACAGGCGTGAGCCACCGGCGCCCGGCTTCATTTTTTTTTTTAATCTTACTTTTTTGAAATAGGCCTCACTGTATAGGCCAAGCTGTTGTCAAACTTGTGGTGATTCTCTGGCCTCAGACTCCTTAGGGCTGGGGTGGAATGACAAAACACTGAAGAAAAACACTGAAGAAGGCAGAAGATGGAAGGGCCAGCTGGCTTCCAGAAGCTGGCAGAACCCTCAGTGGAAGTATTTTCCTCAGTTGTTTCCAATCTGCAAAGGTTAAGAAATCATATAACTGAGTTTGTTACAAAGTCAGCCAGGTTTTCTACAGGAGAGAATCAAGACTGATCTCTTCACACCTGCCTAAACAACTCAGCTTTTAAAAAACCTTTTATCCTTTCTGTTTAACTTCGACTTTTCTAGTGTACTAAACCCGAGACTGCTAGACAGATGCTGTTTTAAGCTGTTATACTTTTGCTTTAAAAGAACTATTTTAGTGTTTTGTCTTAGATTTTTTTAAAAAATTACTTGAGAACAGAAGCAGCACTTAAGGAAAAATGGAAGCGCACTGACTTCTCAAACAACACTAAAGCAAGGAATTTCGTAACAAAATCCAATTAAGAGGCCTCAGGCTGGGCGGAGGACACAGCTGAGCGGTGTAGCTGAATTGTGCAGAAGGCTCAACACTACTAAAACCCAACCAAACGGAGCCCAAACCACTGGAATCCTCAAGCTGCTCTCCTTCAATTCCTTCCCCATTCTAAAACAAATATTAGGCCTCAGAGTTTTAGTTGAGAAAGAATTCAGCTTCCAGTCAGAGAAATGTATCCTCAGAAGTTTTCTTCCTTACTTTGTTTTGTTTGAGATGCATCTTGCTATGGAGCCTAGACTAGCCTCAAATTTGCTATCCTAAAATTAGCTGTCTCTGGAGTGCTGGGTTGAGTCCCGTGTGTTTCTCAAGTTTGTGTGACATCCTCACATTAGGCCATGCCAAATCTCTGTCATCCCTGTTTTGGTTGTGTGTGGGCTATAGCATTTGCAGAATCTTGAGACCATCATCATTTCTTCCCCAGGACTACAGGAAGATTGCCACCTGTACCAACAACACAAATCCCCAAACCCTGAGAACTCCCTGAGCAACACAGTGGCTGTGAATTAGACAGTTTGTAGGTTTTATCTATTTTTTTCTCCTAACACCACAAGGGGGTGGGATTCCCAGTAATAAGGTAGGATTAAGTAGACAAATAATGTGCTTAAAAAGACATTTACTGGAGAACATAGCCCTTTGTATAGTCCTGTTTTAACTAATAGTGTTAACTACAAGATGGAGCGAAGAGCATTCCAGGTAGAGGGAACCGAACTTGCAAAGTGGAGGAGCTGGGAACCGAGTTCAGGACCGCTGCAAGGGCAGACAGAATTTAGGACAAGCAGTGATCCAGGATGAAGGAGGTTGGCAGAGACACTGGATTGTAATCTAAAACAACAGGGCCCCCAAGATGAGGAGTGCCTTGGCCTGATCTGCTCTTTTAGACGAGTATGTTTGCTACAACTCTGGGCGAGGAGAGTCCTGAAGGGTAGCTCAGGGGATGACGTCGGTTACTGAACAAAGTGGGATGGGAGAAGTAGGCCGCCGGTGGGAGGTGGGGGGGGGGGCGGATAACCAGGTATAGACTCACTTCATCCTTACAATCCTGTATCTCGGACCCCGGCCTCGCTCTCCCCCTTTATGGGGAAACTGAGGTCAGAAAGGCTGAGTGCTTAGCACGTGGGTGTGCAAGCGACAAGCTCTGGCATCCGAGCGCCCGTTTCCCCCATCCCCCACTAACCCCAGGCTGGGCTCACAGCGCGCGCCCCTCAGAGCCGCTGCTAACTGCAGGAAACTGGGGTCCTACGTAGCCCAGAATGGCCTAGCTGGCCATTCACGGGCTGGCAGGGCCCCACGAGGAGAGCGGAGCCGGATCCTGGGACGGCGGGAACAGAACCCACGGCAGTCGCAGCGCACGTACCTGGCACGCGAGTCCTCCGCCGCCGGCCCCGCCCCCTGCGGGGCACTGCGCCTGCGCACCGCGTTCAAACCCTGCGCTCGGTGCGCGCGCTCAGCTGCGTCACCTTCCCGGAAGCCCGCCGTGCGGTCTCGAAGTCCGCCGGATGCCGGGTGCCCGGGCGTTCCGCCCCCTCCCCCGCCGCCCCCGGAGAGGGGGGCGCTGGGAAATCTGGCTTCCCCCCGGCTCTCGGCTCACCCGCCGGGGACTTGCCAAAAAGGGGAGAAACGGGGGTGGGGCGGGAGAGGCGTGGGAACAGTTCCTCGATTAGCAAAGTTCCCCTCTTCCCTCCCCCTGTGCGGAGTCTCCGTGCACAGCCTCGGGCTCCGGGGCTGCCGCCAGGCCCGGCTGTCGAAGAATTTAGGGGGTGAGTTAAGATTAAAGGACCAAGAAATCTGTGTCCCAGGAGACGTGGGCTCGGCTGGCATGCAGAGGTTAGACCCTGCTAGAAAAATCAAAAAGTTACAGGGGTTCCCTCCAGACCTGGAACCACGAATGCCTCCTGGGGAACAGGTGTGTTTTTGTTAGAAATCCGTTTGGCAAGAGGACACTTCTCCCCCCCCCCCCCCCCAAACAATTCCTTGCCCGGAGAAAGGACGTCGGCTGTGCAAATGCAGACGTCCCTTCTCAAGCCAGGCATGACTTCCAGAAAGTCGGGTGCACAGTCTAAAAGGCCAGTTTAATTCATTTATTTCAAGTTCCTTTGGGTTTAATTCATTTATTTCAAGTTCCTTTGGGTCCAACCCGGCATCGGATTCCGGGATGTGACTTCGTTCTACGCTGAGCGAAGCATCCCCACTGATGGGCTGACTTAAATATGAATCGACTCCTACGCTTCGCTTAGCTCATTCCGTTCTTTTCCTGCTTGGCTCACACTTCTCTAGTGTCTCTCTTACTCCTAACCCGCCGTGGATCGAAACAATCCAAAGGACTGTATCGCGAGGCGGGCGAGAGACATCCCCGGCGGCACGCAAGGAGTTAAGAAACCAGGCTGGGGCGGAGCCAAGTGATGGGGGCGGGCCTGGGAAACCTACGCGCCCCACTCCGGGCCGTGGAAACGTTGCTCAACAAAACCTTTGGCCAATAGCACGTCCGAGTCAACGCCCGTGGCTCGCACGCTGTCCAATGGCAGGAGACATTGCAGTTGCGCGGTGAAGTTCAGCACCCTGAGCGGCGGTGGGCGTGGCCGCGAGGTGCTGGGGTCCCTGTGTGGCGGGAAGTGGTCCGGGAGTCGGAACCTCTGGGTTCGGTCCTGGCCGGGATGTTTTTATCCGAGGCTGGGGCCCGGCCTCGGACCCGGGAAGTTAGCCCGGCTGAACGCAAGAAGTGGGTGGAAGTAGGTGTCTGGAAGGCTACTCTTGAGTTTTGGAATTAAGTCTGCCCGTCTTCGTCTCAAGTCAGGTTAAGCTCAGGCCTAGACTGCCTTTAAAAGGCTCCTGGTGGATACTTAAGAGTCCTGGAGTTGTCGGCGCCCTGGCTTCTGTCCAATGTCCACTTCGGCCCACTTCCAGATTCCTTTCTTCTCCTCCCTGTCCATACTGGCTCCATGTTAGCCCTGTGTGTGTGTGTGTGTGTGTGTGTGTGTGTGTGTGTGTGTGTGTGTGTGTGTTGGATGGCGGGGAGGGGGGGGGTGAGGAGAGATAATAAAGTTTGGGTGATAAAAGCACACTTTTGGGCCCTACTCCTGAGATTGAGATGTTCAAGATTCAAATTTAGTGCCAACTAGTAATAAAATAAGAGTTTCTGATTTCTGTCACACTAACTGAAGGTGTTTAATATCCTTTAGGTGTTTAAAGCCTGTGATGAAGATAACAAAGGCTATCTAAGCAGAGAGGACTTTAAGGTTGCTGTTGTAATGCTGTTTGGGTACAAGCCCTCCAAGGTACAGCTTTCTCTATGTATTTAGGGATGGGGTAGATAACACAGTATGAATGGGTCTTAGGAAAACTGCCCTGGCTAGGTTAGATTGTTTATGGGGCACACTGATGAATTATAACCAATTTCAGAAATGTCTCCAGTACTGAGTTTGCTATTTCTTCTCAAGGACTCATCCCAGGGATGAATTAGAAATCTGCTTCACTGGAATCCACAAAACCATGAAGTTTTGAACAATTATGAAATAGTAGAAGAATGTCAAGAGAGAAGACTGGGAGGGGGATATTTGTAGCAGGAGGACTTCATGTAGGAAGTGACTTGCACTGTCTCTTCCCCTTAAAATCTTTTTTCTTTTGCTCTTAAGTTGTAAAAGCAATACATTCACATATTTAAAAAGGCAGACTGGGGCACCTTGAGTTCGGAGATGACTGTGAGCATACGGGTACGTTCACTCCTGGGTGCTGAGGTTCTTGTGTGAATCTCTCAGATTTTGCCAGCTCCCTTAGTGATGGGAACTAAAGAAGTGATGGCAGGAGATGGATGTGTGAGTCCTCATTTTACAGCTAGAAGCTCAAAACATGAAACTGGTTGGCATTACCCAGGAAGATCTCTTCAGAATGGAAGATCAGTAATCAAGAGAGGAAACAATTAGGGAAGCCAACATTTAAAAGGAGGTATAGGATTCCAGGAGGAAGATGGAGTGGAGCCATTTGAGAGGAACAAGAGGAACCAGGAATGTGCAGGGAACCCAAGATGGTAGAGAATTCAAGACTGACAGTGGAAAAAAATGTGAGAGCACTTGCTGAGGCTCTGATTCCTTAGGGTTTAGACAGCTTTGTAAGAATCGAGGGGAAATGGTTCTATGTTAATACTTCATATACAGATGGCCTCAAATGTGTTAAATTGCAGAGTGGGGGAAAAGCTGGACTATATCAAAATATTATGCAATGGTTTTCATTGATGGCCACTTTCTTTTCTTCATGATTTATATACTTGTCCACACCAATTGTATGTTCCTTTTGTGTATGGGGGGGGGAGGGGAATCCTGGGCTTGAGCAAAAACACAGCTCTACTTCTGGCTTTTTGGTGGTTAACTGGAGATAAGAATCTCCGGGGCTTTCCTGCTCTGGCTGGATTCAAACTGTGATCCTCAGAGCTCAACCTCTTGAGTAGCTAGGGTTGTAGACATGAACCACCAGCACTCAGCTTATATATTATTGTTGTGCTGGGAAGGTGGCTCAGTGGTAGAGCACTTGCCTTGCATGCTCAAGGTCCTGGGTTCGATTCCTCAGCACCACATAAGAAAAAAAAAAAAGCCATAAGTGGCACTGTGGCTCAAGTGGTAGAGTGCTAGCCTTGAGCTGAAGAGCTGAGGGACAGCGCCCAGGCCCAGAGTTCAGGCCCCACGACCGGACCCCAAAAAAAAAAAATATTATTGTTGTATCAGGAAAAAATTTAAAATGAAGCCATAGAGTTTATTGGAACAATTACTGTTTTTTAAATCTAAAGCAGAAAAGTAATCTTTTAGTTATGTTCTTATAGGGCAGCCAAATTGATTTTATGTACTTAAACTGTATTTGTCAATTGAATAAAGTTTTGGGAGCCATTGAAGTTTATAGCAGATTAGTGTCTGGTATCTTAGAGAAGGTGAAGGAAAAGTAAGATGTTGAGACATATTACTTTCCTTCCGGGTTCAATAAAGTTGGTTTCTCATAAAATACATCTTTTTTCTTAGCAGCTGGAATTAAAAACTTGTGTTGTTAAAACATTTGATAAAATTATATGCCCTATCTTCTTTTGTAGATTGAAGCAGATTCTGTGATGTCTTCAATAAATCCCAGTACTTCTGGTAATACGACAGTTAAGATTCATTTTCTGCCCCTTTTTTAGACATTCGCAAAACCAAAGTTTAAGAACATCATAATTAAGAACAAACATCATTTAAAACACATTTTTTTTTGTTTTTAATTTCAAAGGAAATGTTTTGATTCTTTTTAATTTTGGTTAATACATGTGGTATGTGTTTTAGTAGGATAATTTTAACAGTTGCACAGCATAAAGACAAAAATGCCATTCATCAGTTCACTCATGTTGAAAATGAGCTTGTGTTTCCTGACTTGAGTAGCTGACTGGATGAAGGTAGCAGTTACTGAAATAGGAGGACTGGGGTGAGGATAATTGTTTTGATGAGATTAAGAGTCTATGTATGCTAAATTTCAGAAGTTTCAATCCATTGTGTTATAGCAATTGGACTGTATCAAATGTGGAGCTCAGAGGGAAGCACTGGCTAAAGAAATGAATTTGGGGTCATCAGTAGCTTTAAAAATTACTGACTAGATGAGAGTACTTAGAGAACTGCATAGATTGAAAAAAAATCTTAGGATTTGTAGCCAATAGAGGTTAAGTAGAGAATGAGAAAAAGGCAAGGAGACTTAGCAGTCTCCAAGGAGCAAGAAGAAATCAAGTGTCCAATCAAAAGCCAAGACAACTCGGCTCCAGTGGCTCATGCGTGTAATCCTAGCTGCTCAGGAGACTGAAATCTGAGGATTGCAATTTGAAGCTAGCCTAAGCAGGAAAGTGCATGAGACTCTTCTTTCCAATTAACCAGTAAAATTCAGGAGTGAAGCTGTGGCTCAAGTGGTAGAGTACCAGCCTCATGCCAAAATACCTAAGAGAGAGCTCAAGGCCCTGAGTTTAAGCCCCCCCCCCCCACGATTGGTGAGTATTGCCATGAACAGCGTGTGATATGATGTGATGTGAACATCACCTGATAGGTTGGGTAGATAAGAACTGAGGAGAAACCATTGTTGGAACTGGCAGCCTAGAGGTCTTTGTAACTTGAGTAAGAGGAGTTTCAATGTGATAGCTTCAACCTATTCATATTAATACTTTTTACTGCATAAAAATGATGTAATGGAATGAGCTCAGCTGCCCTATTAAAAGACAGATGTTGTCAGATTGGATTTTAAAAAGCAGGGCCTAACTCTGTGTATGTAGCCTACAGGAGCCCACTTTATATATAAAGGCACAAAAACTAATAGTGCTCAGGCCCTGAGTTAATACTGAGATTAACAATACTGAAAGATATCAAACATGGTTTCCACCTTTGGTTACCTACCAAAAAAAAACCTAAAATCTTTTTATATACAAGGTAGATATGTCATATGAAATGCGACTTTTAGAACATTATTAGTAGAAGAATAAGGTTTTTTTCCCCATAATCCCTGACTTAATAGTGTTTCCATAGGTTTTTAATTACCTATTATAAATTTTCACACCTCCCAAATATTGTTTCTTGGATGTTTAATTAGCTGTAATGTATTGGTGAAACCTTTCGTCCATTTTTTCTTAGGATTTCCAGTGTACAAAAAGTCTGTCTTTTGGCAGAAGGATTTCCTGAATGTCTGGGCTGATCTGGTTTCCCTGGGTTAGGGGGTGCCATGATAAGTCTGTCTAGACAGCGATCTCCCTGCCTTGTTATTTTATGCAGTTTCTCTGTTTTGTGGCTTTTCTGGTACATCAGGGTGATTGGAATGAAAGGTACTGTTAGCAGCTCTTACTCATTCAGATTTCCTTTCTTGTGTGTGGCCTCTTGTTTCGAATTGAGGATTTGATTTCAAATCCTTAAGGATTTGAAGGTTTTTTTTTCCATTTTGAGGGAAGGTTAATTTTTTTTATTAGTGCATATTAATTGTATTTTTCTTTTTTTTGTTGGTCGTGGAGCTTGAATTCTGGGACTGGGCACTGTCTCTGAGCTCTTTAGCTCAGGGTAGCGCTCTACCACTTAAGCCACAGTGCCCACTTCTGGCTTTTTCTGTGTATGTAGTGCTGAGAAATTGAACCCTGGGCCTCATGCATGCCAGGCAAACACTACCACTCAGCCACCTTCCCAGCCTGGGAAGGTTAATTTTTGTTTCCTTAATTCTCTCTGAGATACAGAATGTGGTGAATTCTGCAGGAAGTTTTCCTACATTCTTTGCCTGTGTAGTTGTCTGATAGAAAGATAGAGTGGTCTGATAGAAGGGTTCACTGCTGGAACTTTTGTCCACATTCAGTGTGTTTACAAGACTCAGTATTTTTTCATACTACACCTGATTTCATAGAGAGGCTTTTCCATTGGTATTGCATTCATGTCCTACCTTCTCCTTCCCTCTCTCCCCCAGGGCTTGAACTCAGGACCTCACACTTAGGTGGCATTCTACCACCAGAGCTATGTAACTCTAGCCCAGCTTTTTTTTGCTGATTACTTTTGGAGATGGGATTTTTAAAGACTTCTCTGCCCTTGTTGGCTTTGAACCTAGATGCTCTAGATATCCTCTCCTGAGTAGCTAGGATGACAGGCATGAGCCACTAGGCCTGGTTTAAAAGCTCCTCTTGTGTATTCACACAAGATACAAACTAAGAGGTGGCTAGTAGTAAATGAATATCTAGGTATGTCATGGATTCTCTCTTCCTCTGTGTGTTTTCCTAATATTAGAGAGAGGTTTGACTTGAAACTGAACATAGCTTATGCTCACATGGTTGACAAAAGTCCTTCCTCTTGAGGTCTCTAGGGTTTGAGTTTTGCCTTTATGTAAAAGTGTTTCTCTCAATTTTTTCAGTCATGGGACTTATTCCTCCTTCCTATACTTCTCCTATTTCTTTTTTTGTGTCAGTACAGGGACTTGAACTTAGGGTGTAGGCGCTGGCTCTTAGCTTTTCTGTGCAAGACTGGTGTTTCACCACTTGGGTCATAGCTCTACTTCTGGCTTTTTGGTCATTAATTGGAGATAAAAGTCTCATGAACTTTCCTGCCAGGGCTGGCTTTGAACTGGGATCCTCAGACCTCTCCTTCCTGAGTAGCTAGGATTACAGGTATAAACCACTGGTGCCTAGCTTGGAACCTTGTTTTGGCCTGCATTCTTGTGTGCAGACAAGAGTGCCTTCCATTCATTATGGCCGAAGGATTTCTTCACCTGGACTTTTTTGATACTGAAAATAGACTTCCCTCTTATTCAGGGTTTTCTGACTTTGATCAGGTGCTCAGGGACCTGCTCTAGTATGCTGTTCCTTGCATTTAATATCAAAGGATGACTCTCAAAACCATTTCTCAATCAAATCATTAGCATGCTTACTCTCACAGCTTCTTTTCCCAGTAATTAATTTTAAAGTATATTTCAGAAGCTTTCAAAGTTTTAAATTAGTCATCTGAGAAATTTGGGGAATATCAGAGGAAGGATTAGTTTGGAGGAATGAGGTCAAATGTTGCTGGTTAGCACCTTGTCCCAAAATTGCTCTGAAATCAATGTGATTCTCCAGGCTGGCAGTCCTTTTCCTTCTTCCGATCTTGATGTCAATATCAGATTCATTTCTTCAGGATTAAAGGAACAGATTTACAACCAGGTCACTGGCTCTCCAAGTAGCTTTTCATATATATATATTTTTTGTTGGTCGTGGGCTTGAACTCAGGGCCTGGGTGCTGTCCCTGAGCTTTTTTGCTCAATGCTAGTGCTATACCACTTTGAACCACAGTGCTACTTCTAGTTTTCTGGTGGTTAATTGGAGATAAGAGTGTCACAGAGTTTCCTGCCTGGGCTAGCTTCGAACCACAATCCTCAGATCTCAGCCTCCTGAGTAGCAAGGATTACAGGCATGAGCCACTGGCACCTGGCAAGCTTTTCATATTTACCTGAATGGAAGTGTAGTCCTCAAAGGCATAAATATCCAAGTGGAATGACTCAGTTGCCATCCAGCAAGAAATCACCCCCAAACTCTACTGCCAACACAAACTTTTTTCTATTGGAACCCTTCAATCCTGACTCCATTTCAGCCCATCAATTCCCTTTCTTCCCTATTAATGCCATGAGAACCATTTATAGGATATTTCTCTTGATAGAAGTAGCTTCATGTGCAGATAATGTGTCTTTTCAGATACGTTGTCTCTCTCCTTGCTGTTCTAATCTTGAAGAAGAAAGTAAATCTTGATCTTTGCTTCCCAGAGGGTATTTATTTATTTGCAGCTTCACAAAGTTCCCACAGGTTGCTATGACTTGGAAATTCTACTTGTGTCATCCACAGCTCTTCTTACTTCAAACCAAGGTCATGGCAGGTGTCTGCAGGGCCTCATGGCTGAGCAGCCTCTGGGGCAAAGTCCAGACTCGTGTCCTGGGCTGACCCTGGCTTATCCACCCTTAGGCAAGGGCAGGATTCTGAAGATGGATGCACTTAGTTTTTGCTTTGGGACTGTAGCTGGATATGCAGGTTCTGCTTCTCAAGATCTTCTAGTCTTCTTAGAAGATAGAGTCTGTCTGTGAACATTAAGAAGAGTGACAGGCTACATCAAAGCAATTAGAAATAAGAGTAGGGTGTGTGAAAGGAAAGTACATACCGGGAGAATTTGAGGGCAGTCAGAATAAGTAGCAAAAAAGATACCACTGATGTTTTTAAAATTGCCTGTCACCAAACAAGCAAATATTTGCAGAAACTGTTTAAGGCAGCTGGGCACAGGTGCTAGTAATCCTAGCTACTCAGAAAGCTGAGACCTGGAGAATCGCTGTTCAAAAGTCAGCTTGGGCAGAAAAATCCATGAGACTCCATCTCCTGTTAACTGGTGTGAAGCCAGGCTGGAGTTGTGGCCAAGTGGTAGAGTGTCAGCTGAGAATCTGAGACCTTTATTTCCTGTCCTGGTATCTGCATAGAAAAAGGAAGGAAGGGAGAAAGGGGCATGGGGAAGGGGGAAGGACTATTTAGGCCATCCGAGAACAAGGAAATGTCTTTGTAGGAGAAAAAAGTTTCAAGCAGATCCCTAATTGAGATTGATTTCTGTATGCAGCATTATGACCTCTTTTATAAGGTTTTATTACAATTCCT